ATAGATAAGGCTTTATTTGAAATTGAAGACGGCGTAACAAACACTCAGTTATTTTTCCTCATCTAGCAGAAGCCACAGAATTACAGCCCGTATTTCATTTTGCCAGCCCTGACTATTTGGAAATGCTGGAGTCTGTCCCCATGAGATATTTGTTCCTCAAACCTACATTTGAAAGGGTTTTTAAATGTTTTCTAGCAATTAGAAATGTATTATGTGGAGTGAGCTAGTATTTCCTGGTTACGGTTTAAATGCTTTTGAGATAAGAAGACACTCTAATTGACTGAATACTATTTATATTTCTTTCTATTGTGCTAAAAGTTTATGATGCAGTCTCAAAATTGGAACAGCCTGAATTCTGCATGTTCCGACTTCTGATGCAAACACAGGCAGAGAGGGAAAGTTACAACAAAACCTGATGTCAGTTGCTGTATTCATAAATGTAACAGCTAAAAATACATGAAGGCAAGTCAGAAAAATGGTGAGTAACTTCACCGAGGTGTATATATACACACACACACACCTTATTTTCATAATTCTCTATCAACAAATACATTTCACCCAATTTCATCAGTTTCTTCAAAAAAAAAAAAAAAGGAGCAAGTTTACTCTTTCAGAAAAGAATGTTAATATCAATGGAAATTCAGAAAAAAAGATAATCCTTGTTTATTTGTATGAAATATACTGAATCCTGAGACACTCAAAAGTATCTGTCATATATGACCGTTTCAGCAGTCACATTAGGAAATGGTCTAATTTAAATCTTTAATAATGGCCTTTAAATCTTACTTCTTTCAGTTGCTGGGAATTCATGGAATATATCGTGTTCATTCCTACCTCAAATGGAGCAACAGAAATAATATTTTTTACATAAACAGAATAGCATAAATTGCAAAAAATATTGTAAATATTGATTCTGCTACCAAGGGCTTCAAATTAAAGACTATTTACTGGTATAAAATTTCAGGAATCAAATTTTAAAAAAGAAAGGATGTATTGAAATGCAGTGACAACACGAATATGTGCTACAAAAGCTCCTGGGAGCGATACACCGCCGCATGCTGCTGCAACCCGGGTGCTTCAGCTGGACCCTGGCTTTTCTTTTACTTCCTCGGGTATATTTGTATTTATTTTAAAGCACAAGCAATTAGCAGACGTTTCACCCTAATTAATGCTGGCTACTGATCCTTTTCAAGGAAGCTGGCAAATTACCAGACATTTGAGGAAGAGGTTTTGCTGATGGGTTCGTGGTGGTCGGAGACTGTCCCCGTTTTCCTCTGACGGCCGATCCAGCTGTGTGCCCCCAGTGCATTACCCTTTCTTTTCAATGATTAAAAAAAATTCTCCAGAAAAAACCCAAATTCCTTACAAGTCCCTTTTCAGCCACACTTATGTGCAGCCAAATGATGGATTTAAAAGGTTACTGCTGGAATATGGTTCACAGCAGTCTATTGCAGTGAATAAATATCACGTTTACATATCCATTATAACAAAACTATGCTGCACTTCCATTACTTCATGTTGGTTTGCCATCTGGAAGCTAAACAAGCTGTGTAGTAAAAGAAAGAATTCAATTTTGCATTTACCAAAAGGAGCCATACGAGTTTCAATTTATAGCGGGGAATTGCCAACCTTCGCAGGCAGAAATCTGCCCGCAGAGCGCCAGCGCCGTGCCCTGCGGGAGGGCGGCTCGCACAGCGACGAGGGGCTCAGCGCACCGAACAGCCCCTCAGAGAAACGGTGTCACACTGTAGCACCGCTCCAGAGACCAGCCTGAAACCACGCTCGCGGGACACTCTTCCCGCCGGCCCTGAGGGCCGCCCACGGAGGCCAACACCGGTCAGAGCGACACTGTGCAGCTTTCACTGTGCGTCAGCCTTTGTGTTATGTGTTCAGAAACACCCCAAAGAAGTGGCGTGCCCTTGCTCTGAGACTTCCATCAAGAAAAAAATCCCGTGTAAACAACGCTGCCCATCACCACCTGTCCGCCCCTCCACAAAAAGGTGCCTGAAGGCAGCGGTCAGGGTGTCACCAAGCCCAGAGCAGGCAGGGCCCTTCCAGCCAGGCTGGGGCTCGCCCGCCGCCCTCGGTACCACCAAGACGGGCACCAACACTCCCTCTGCAAGTTCCCGCTTGCATTTCTGGAATTCTCTCTCATCCTGTGGGGAAATGGTTTTAACCAGCGTTAGCGAGCTCCTGCTCCTCATCTTGAGGGCAACCAACTTACCAGGAGATGCATCCGACCAGTGACACAGCCAGGAATGGCCAGCACCACCAGGTAGAACCACAATCTCCTCCACAAGCCCCTCTCTGCTTGAGCCATGCCTGTGACAGTGGCCGCCCCCGCAGGGCTGGAAGCCACCACTCTGCAAAGCAAAGGCAGCTGTGAGCCCCCTCCGCAGCGGTGGCTGTGCAGGTGAGAGCGATGAGGATGGAGACGATGGGACCAGCTGGGGAGGGACCACTCTCATCAGCGCCCCCATGCCTCCATTCCCCGATGCAGCGCTGCAGCCGCCTCCTCCCAGCACCACTGCCTCTCCGCGCAGCCGGGACATCCTCCCCTTGTGCAGGTGAGATGCAGGATTAGCAGCAGCCATAACCACAAAGATGGCCACAGCCCAAAGAGCCGCTGTCGACCGAGAGCATCAAACGCAAGTGTCTGCAGAACTGCCAGCGTGGCAAGTTGAGGCACACAGTTGTCACACTCAACAAAAGCAAAACGTCTTCTCCCTACTCTAGGTAGTGGTGAGGTTATGGCTAAGTATGTCCTCTCAGCTTGAAATCCTAAAACAAAACAAAAATCCAAACAAGCCCTTCCCTCCCCCTGATCGCTACTAATGTTCAAACACGGGTTTGGGCTCACAACCACTGGAGCGCATCCTCGGAGGGTGTCCAACCTTCTCACACACTCACTACAACTATGCACCAGCTCATTAGCAAACTGCAAATACTAGTACCTAAGACAAGAGACAGAGCATTTTATGATCAAATTTATTTAATTAAATTTCATTGACTGTTGTACTGTAGGTCGCACCAGAGACTGCCAAAGTAAACTAAACATTTTACATTCACTACAAGATTCTCTCAAATTTTCACAACTAGTCCAAAAACATGAAAGTTGTCGGGTCCCGTTCCCTCAGTTTGCGTTACGACTCTCATCAATGACAGCGGGACTCGTCTCCCAGCACTGGAGCACACCGAGCCCTTGGGTTCCCAGGGGCCCCACAGCCCTCCTGGCTGCAAACGCTTCTAAAACCATACGCGCGTGTGGACGTGTGTGCACATTGCTCTGTGTATTTACAGAACCAACCTCCTGATGGTACAGAGGACAAATAACTGTTTAACTGCTAATCCAGAAAGGAAAACAAATAATCATTAATTTTGCAGCACAGAGGGTAGGAGGATGCAATTCCACCGGAGGGGGGTCCGCACACCCCCGCAGCCCCGGCACTGGCAGCACACAGGCGCAGCGCAGGGGGAGTCCTGTGCCAGACCTGGCCCACCCTGGAAGCCTCAAGAAAATTTTGTCACTGCCCATAACGGCAATCAGATCACTCCTTTTGGAAGCAAGGTAGGTCTAAACCGATTCCAAAACACTTAGATGCACGCGAGACTATGAAGATGGAAGTTAAGCAAGGCTTGCCCCACCGAGGTTTCTGGGGATGCTGGGAGGAAACCAGGCAATCCCACGCACAACTCCAGGCTGGATGGAGAACGGATGGAGAGCAGCCCTGAGGAGAAGGACCTGGGGGTGCTGGGTGATGAGAAATTCATCATGAGTCGGTAATGTGCACTGGCAGCCCAGAAAGCCACCTGCATCTGGGGCTGCATCCCCAGCAGCGTGGCCAGTGGGGCGAGGGGGGATCCCGGGCTGCATCCCCAGCAGCGTGGCCAGCAGGGCGAGGGGGGATTGTGCCCCTCTGCTGCGCTCTGCTCTGGGGAGACCCCCCTGCGGTGCTGCCTCCAGCTCGGGGGGTCCCACCAGCAGAAGGAGACGGAGCTGTTGGAGCGGGGCCAGAGGAGGGCACGGAGATGCTGGGAGGGCTGGAGCCCCTCTGCTGGGAGGACAGGCTGGGAGAGTTGGGGGGGTTCAGCCTGGCGAAGAGAAGGCGAAAAAGGGGAGACCTCAGAGCCCCTTCCAGTGCCTAAAGGGGCTCCAGGAGAGCTGGGGGGGGACTCTGGATCGGGGAGGGGAGAGACAGGACAAGGGGGAACGAATTTAAACTGGAAGAAGGGAGGTTTAGATGAGATATTGGGAAGAAATTTTTCATTCTGAGGGTGGTGATCCCCTGGGGCAGGTTGCCCCGAGAAGCTGTGGCTGCCCCATCCCTGGAGGTGTTCAAGGCCAGGTTGGACGGGGCTTGGAGCAACCTGGGCTGGGGGGAGGTGGCCCTGCCCAGGGCAGGGGGTGGCACTGGATGGTCTTCAAGGTCCTTTCCAACCCAAACCATTTGATGATTAATAGAACTTTATCTAACTAGTGTTTTTAAAATAATCCGTTTCTGATCTAGCAGGGATTTTGATAATATATATCTATGATATGCTCTGAATATTTCCTTAAAAAATGCTGAAGACATTTTCTCTATTTGAGAGTTATCTACAGGAAGTCTTTATTATACCATCTTTTCTTTTATGTGTCTACTCCTAACAAATATCAGAGAAATACGTCAGATGCTACAATTTAAACTTTCATTGTATCTGAAAGTATACAACTCTTTTAAAGTGTATTTTCAACATGAAAAGAGCTAAAATCACAATCATATTCCATTGCGTAATGTGTGTGAAATCAAGACCATTTGCATAGCTTCCAAAGTGAAACTCTGGAAAAGAGCAATTTCAGTAACAGGACGTATTAATTCAGGGAAGGGCTATCATCCCCCTTCACTTTCACTGCATGGCCTAAGATATTCTTGAAATAGTCTACAATTATTGTCAGGATCTTTGTCTAAAAAGCCAGCTTCTGGAAAATTTCAAGTTGTAATTATTTTATAAATCACAAGCCATTTTTCCTTAATCTTGCCAATTTTAATGAAGAAAAAACATTAGCATTTCAATGTACAAAAGTCCAATAAAACATGTTTTTTCTTTTAAATCAGTGAATGGGTAAAGTTTGGGTTAAACTTATTCAGCAGTAAAAGTCTTCCAATTTCCACTAATAGAAATTTTTTTTTTCCCGATTTGACTATAGGATAATGACAATCCAGAAATAAATAGCTATAAATACATTCATTGTTCCTATTCCAAAAATAATCACATAGGGAAGACACAAAACCGAAATTAACTTATTTGAATCTGTTTCTTTACAATGAGATATGGGCAAGTTATAGCAGAGTGACTCAAGACAGGGAAAAAACAAGTAGGGAATCAATTGGTCCAGTATTGACATTCATGAAACATATCAGTTAGGATAATTCTGCAGTTAATTCATCCTTTAAATGACACTACTCAGTTGATTTTTATTTGCTTCAGGTATACAGAATGAAAGCAGTTTCCTTTGAATCGTTGCTGAGGACAGGTATAGTACCCTGGAGACACTGTAACAACCCCCTTCAGTATGCATGTGCGTATATATAATTATATACAAATAATCATGCATCCACACACACATTTGTATATCAACACTGCATGTGACGGCTAAATCCATCATCATTCATCATTGGCAGCACTTGTTCCTCTGACTTGGCCTTGATAACGTAACTGTGGAGAAAGAAAATACACAATTATGCATTAATAGTCTCCCGAAACAGTAAGTTCCAACTAGGCAGTTTTACTAATCTCCAGGAGAAACAGGGCAGGGCGGTCAAAACACCACCAGGACTGAGCAAATCATACCAAAGCAACGCAAGACTTGGTAGGGAATCTTAATTTGGGTGCTGTCCTCGCTGGTGGACAGCAGCTCCGTCTCTGAGGAGCTTCTGGCTAATCAGCAGGACTTTAGAGGTGCTGTGGGTGGGGACGCCACCTACAGCGTTAAAACAGTCACGGCGGGAAACACCAGCGTTACAGTACTGGACATAAAGACTCGAAAACTTGCAACTCTTGGACAACCTGTTTCCCACAGTAACATTTTTAACCCAATTTCGTATTTATAAATATTTGTGTGGAACTGGATTTCAGGAACTTAACATGCTTTGGAGATGACAGTCCACAGTTCCCCCACATTACGTGGGCTAAGTCCACATACCAGTTTGCTACTGAGTATGTAGCAAAATGATGCTCACTGACTTTTCTGATTTGCACCCAAAAGACTACTTGCAGGCTTCAGAGCTCAGTGCCAGCACCGTGATGACAACAGGACACGCATTTTGGGTTTCTGTACCAGATAAGCACAAAAAACCAGGTTACGTGGCCAACACCACAGGCATTCTACCACTGGGCCGAGCACCCGCCCAGCCTATCACAGTGCCCATCTGTGTGGACACCAAGGGTCATCTCCAACTGTTGATCACCACAAGGTTTCAAACAGGAGGGAGGTGAGGCCCAGAAGTGTTATCTGGACATATGTCCGTTCAGGCTGGGAGAGTTGGGGGTGTTCAGCCTGGAGAAGAGAAGGCTCCGGGGAGACCTTATTGTGGCCTTTCAGTACTTAAAGGGGACTTATAAGAAAGATGGGGACAAACTATTCAGGAGGGCCTGTTGTGATAGGACAAGGGGTAACGGTTTTAAACTAAAAAGAGGGGAGATTTACACCAGATAAAAAGAAGAAATTTTTTACAATGAGGGTGGTGAGGCACTGGCCCAGGTTACCCAGAGAAGCTGTGGCGGCCCCGTCCCTGGAAAGGTTCAGGGTCAGGTTGGACGGCGCTCTGAGCAACCTGTCCCAGCTGAAGATGTCCCTGCTTGTTGCAGGGGGGTGATGGACTAGACGGCCTTTAACAGTCCCTTCCAACCCAAACTGTTCTATGATCGTAGACGATTTCTGCCAGCAATTCCCATCCATCAGAACATCAATCCCTTTTCTCCTTTTCCATCCAGCAGTTGACTTACACAGCTTGATTTGCCTCAGAACCTACAGAGAACTCCTCTAGGCGTCAGCAGCCAAAGTGCCTCGAACGGAACCCTTCTTACGCATCTAAACGTAAAATAAAACTGTGAGCTACCACATAAAGAACCTATCGCACTGTTGGTTAGTAAGAGAGAAGTAACAATCTACGTGACCAGGACTGCTTTTTTCCTGGCCAGGACCAGACAGCCTCAGGTACAGCTGAGGGTTTTTGGAGAGGGGGTATACTATATGTCTTTTTGGTGAGGAAGCCTGGGAACTGTACAGCAGCTGTAAATGATGCTTCCTAAATTTTTAACAGCCCATGGTGCTTCAGCATGGAGCCACACTGCTCAAAATGCCCTATGTGGCATTTCTACCCTCACAAAGACATGAGGTAGGTCGGTCACAGTGCTTTGGCAGGGTCAGATGCTTTTCTACTGCGCACTGATTAGCCGATGTGTATGTGAGGAAGCCCAGGTGCTTCTCGTCTCCAGAAGTCAGATACATAAGCCACTAAGTGAAAGGTAAAGAAAAACAGTGAGAAAAGGATGGGCTGGGATAGAGAAACTCTGGAAGAACACTGATGAGGAGTCACAGTAACAAAAAAGTAACAAAAGCAGAGATCCAAACTATAAAAATAGACTTAAGATGAAGAGCAGGGCCAACAAAAGAACCGAAATGTGCACAGAGTCCAAGGAGAAAGATTAGTAGAAAGTGACAGCAACAGAAAGCAGTGTGTGTAAGGAGATGTAATTCTGAGGCTTTCTGCAGTTGTTTGGTTTTAAGCATCACAGAACTGCATAGTGCAGCACAGTCAAAAAAAGCCGACTCCTTCTCTGCAGGGATGGAAGCATGAAGATAGTCTTGTCATATTAAGCACCTTATCACTAAGCGCTCACTTCCCAGAGGTCCTGGCCATAAAACAAATGATTTGTGGTATACTTGGGATTTAATGGAAGTTACAGTTTAGCATAATGGATGAAGTAGTTGAATATGAAACATAACACCAAATAATTTGGGACAAAATTAGCATTCCTATTTTATTTGGAAGTGACTTTTTTGCCTTTAGGTTATTCTCCAATAATGCACTTCCCCACAAAAATCTTGAAATTGCATCATTTATAGGTGTTCGTAAATACCCCTATTATAACAGTTGAGAAAAACCAAAATATTTTAACAGTAGGTCCCCACTCCTCTCACATTTCACAATACGCATAGAAAAGCTGTGTTAGTGTAACTGATCAATACATTCCTCATGTGAAAAAACTGACTTTTTCAACAAGTAATACACTTAAGTTCCTGATGCTAACGTCTTACACAACAAGCTATTTGAAATAAACTATTTGCATTGCTTTGCAAAACTAGAAAATAGTAAATAAATGTTTTACATTTAAGAACGATGATAAATCTTATACCCAGAAACATGTGATACGGGTTTTGCTTAAGGTTAGAACTAAAAAGCAGCAAATATTTTGCAAAAAATATTTAAAAGAAGTTACTTACCAGTGAGAAATGTGAAACAGAACTTTCTCTACAAGATGACAAACATCCACAGAGACCCAAAGGGAAATTTTCTCATGCACACAGATGCGTCAGGTGCTGCTGACCCCCCCAATACACACCTTGTACGCACTCCTCACACCGCCACTATCCTTTCTCAGAGAAATTGGATGAAATCCATTTCATTCCAAACAAAGAACTATGGGTGTGCAATTTTTGTCAGAACCCTTCTGACAAAAATCAGTTATTGAGAGGAAAGTGGTTACTCTACCTCCTTCACAGACACCTAGGAATAGGTGCCTCTAGGAATAGGTTCTGGTATAAAGGAGAATTAAAGAAGAAATACACGTGATTTGAGAGAACACCTCCCATAATCAAAAATATCTGAATGCCAATGAGAGAGCGCAGTGTTTGCAAGAGTGAGTGAACATCATTCTTTTCCAAAGCCTGTTCCAGGAACTGCCAAAGCAGCCAAATCTTTCAGTTTATTTGAAAAGAAAGTTTGGTTTTACCAGCTCAGAACATCTACCTATTAACACACAGAACAGCGAAGAAACACTTCTTCCAAATCCAAAAAACATCTCGACACAATGCAAGACACCTCCACACAGTTCATAAAGTCCAAACGTGGAAAGCGCAACAAGCGGGGATGGAGGAGCTACAGCTAGTTCGATACTAAAATTAAAGATTTGCTAGGCACAAACCACAAAATGCACTTCAGACCTACTGTTGACAGTGGTTCTAAAGCAGCAGCCAACCTGTTTAAAGATGTCTGGCAGCTGAAATGAGTTAAACCATGCAAAAAAGTAAGTTATAGCTGAAGACACATCATGTCTTGAAAGAACCAAGACAACGGAAGGGAAGTGACAAGCCGAATGGGTTTGGGGCATAAAGCCAAAACGGGAAGGAAATAAAACTGCAAATCCAAAGACTGCAAAGAACTTAATAAACCAGCAGGATTGCAAAAGAGAAAGGCTCGTGCCAAAGGTCATGCTCTGGAAAGACACTACAGAAGGCGGCTTCCTGCCCAGCCTGTGATGTTCCTCTACCTCCAAGGAAATAGCAGAAAAAGTGCCCTATGGATGAGTTTCCTTCTAGACATCAGTGCAAAGACAGAACAGGCTGTAGGTATTTGGTCCTCACAGCCACCAAAGCATGAAAATTGACACTATCTGAAGCCCGTTAATTTTACTGACTTCCTTTTTGCAAACAAATTTCTCCGTTTTGGCGTGCTAATCGGGATGAGTGGAACAGCTGTCATGTGCCAGATAGAAGCTTGCTTGAAGACATGTTGAAGAGAAAAAGTAATCAGATCTAATGATGATTAGAAATGAAACAAAGCAAGACACATGATGGAAAAGCAAGATGACAGCTCTGAATTCTAACTGACAAGTGGTAAAAAGGCACTGAATGGGACTTTGTGCAATGGGCATGATGCCATAAAGAGGTGGTCAGGGCAGACATTCTGGATTTACCTTACAGCCACTTCCAGCTTGACAGACCACAGTATGCAGAAGCTTGAAGTGCACGGGTCTGCACAGGGGAATCACCAAAGGGGCTGTAATGTTCATCAGCAATCACCCAAAAGCACACAGGGGGATGGACACGACCTAATTTGCGTCAATTCCTGAACAGATAAATCTACAGGTGCACACAACACCTTAGCACACAAACATCAACCTTAAAAAAACCCCATTCTCACCGCTTCCAGCTCCTTTTGGGTTTCATCTTCCATTCTCCTAATGTCTTCCATAGTCAGATCAATCCACTTGTCAATCCAACAGAACAACTGGCGATGAAAGTTGGTAAATATCCTTTTTTCTTGCTTTAAGATGATAAACAAACATTAGATAATAGGCCTGCATTTTGCCAAAGACTGGTGAAATCATTGCAAATGTTCGATTTGAAAAACTATGTTTAGATGCATGCTGTTTCACGCTGCTACAGGTTCAGACCTCTCACTTTCCTGGATCCAATTTAAAGTCATCTCATTTCTCACATGCTTTAACATGGAAAAACAACTACAAAAAAAAAAACCAACTATAAAAAAAATGTCAAGAAAGTTCAGCAATTCGTGTTACTTGAAAATGCTGAAAAATCTTTTTAAAATCTGTTCTAGCTCCAAGATAGCACTAGACAGAATAAACGAAGCATCACAACAGCTAGAGTATTTAGCATGAACGGTATAAAAATCTACAACAGAACTGTCACAGGTTCTGTGCTCACCGTTAAAAACCAAGAATGAGCAATTCCTGAAGCCAGAGTGAAGCAAAAAGGGAAGCAGTTCTGACTCCAAAAGACAGCACACTTGCAATTTGTACCAGATCGGCACCCCAATAATATCTGCCGTGCAATTTCAAAGGTACAAAAACCTTGAGAGTATAAATAGTCAGGCTAAGGATTCCACAGCCCTTCCATTCAAGTACGCACATCCGTGTTCTGAACTGCTCACAGTAAGAATATTTTCACTGTACCTCTGCTGCTTAAACTGGTAGGTTTCGCATTCCAAAGCGCCTGCCATCCCCCTGCCCCACTGCGTTACACTGAAGAACTGCAAGGTGCCAGCTCAGTCCAGCCCTAGCGCCCTGGAACCTCACCTTTCATAATGGTGACTTGGATGATGAAAGATGCATCATATAAGTACTGCTCCCAACTGCTCTGATAAAAGTAGTGATGTATATACAACACAGAAATCTATTTTACTACTAAAACTCAGGCTGCTGCATGTGCTCAGTTACCCAGGTTGCCACTTTAAGTTCACGTCGTGTTCATCTGCTCCCAGATTTTGCATCACTCAAGCTGCTGGCTGTCCTCAAACACAACGCTGATCAAATCTAACATACGGTTCTCAACAACTAGCACACAGAGACAGCTGCCTCTAAACAATCAGCTTCAGGTAAAGCAAGGCAAAAAAAACCAACCCCAAAACCCCACCCTATATTCAAATACTCCTCATCAGCCCACAGAATCAGTCTTGGCTCTTCTGCTCAGCTGATTCCCTACCAGTGTTCAGTCTGAAACGTGTGATGGGCAACTCCTTCCCAAAACCACCACCACACTAAAGAGTCTCCAATGTTTCCTTACCCGTAACTTTGTACTGTGGCCATCGCAAACTACCTCCTCCATTTAATTTTCAATTACTACTGTTTGAAGCTGTTCTCTTTAGCAATCATGCTTACTGAAATTCATAAGCATTTAATGCAGGTAGCTGTGTGGTCTGCTCAGAGCTAAGAGCCCTGGTTACCACAATGGAACAGGTCTGCCGTTGGTTGTCTGTGAGGAAACACCGTGCCCAGTTGGTACTGGAATATCATGTTTTGGTTAACTCACTATTACAATACATTTTCTCTGGACTGGAGAGAACTGGCATGATGGTCTAGATTAAATACTCTGCCTACAAATTAGTTTACATCCTAAATATTTAGTCACACATTAAAAATATTTTACAATTCATGTTCTGACTCTTTGCTTATACCTCTGCTTTTTAACTTAGAAAGTTATTCTGATACCACCAGTGAAACCCCACTGCGAGCAGATCAAGACACAAATGGTTGTACTCGCTGAAGAAATAAACAGAAATTGCTTGACGGCAAGCAACAGGAAACTCCATCGCTGTTTCTCCTCAAAAACCCACACGTCACCACAAACCCCCTGCCCGTCGCTGACTCACCTCCCCAGCAACACCCCAGCAAGGAAGAAGGACTTACCTTCTGTATAAAGTTTTCAACTTTGTTTTGCAGTCCCCACCATTTAAATTTGATAGTCACCAACTTGTAAGCACACATTTTAGGACACTCTTCATCAGTTGCTATCTCTTTCTGTTTACGGATAATGGGAAGGAATTTTTAATTTTGTAAAAGTCTACTTGAGTCAAATTAATTTCATTATTAGAAATATAATTCGAAGTATTATATTACAATTATAAATCATATTATTAATTTATAGCAAATTAAAATAATTTATTATAATTATAAATTAGAATTCTAAATATTACTAAGAATTAAAGTAATACTTAGAATTCTAAGGATTAGTAAATACTTAGCACTGTACTCTGAACATAGGGTAACAGGGATTAACAAACAATCAGATTAAATCTGTAAAACAATTCCATGCATGTTGCAAACATATCCTATAAATCTCAGTCTTAACATGGATTTCATCTTCATGATTTCCACTGTACTACACGTGCTGGTGCTCTGAAGGGCAACGACGCTCGATTACAACAGCACCAAAGGATTGGTTCCTGCTGGGTCTGTGGCGCCAAGGCAGTTGTAACTGCTGTGCCAAGCTGCTCAGTACAACGCTGGAGAACACACGCACTAGAAAAAGTTCAGATAACGAGAAGCACATAACCACCCCTCAGGTTTGCTTCTCATAAAAGCACAGAACTTCAGCGTACTGGAGTTCTGCTCTGCCCACAGGACACCGGCACGCTCTCCCCTCTCCCGCGCCCCCTCTGCAGACAGTGCCCGAAGGGCATGCCTTTACCCAGCTGTAGAGGTAATTTCTCCTTGTGGGGTATAATTTACATATTCATTTTTGCATAATGAATTGCAGACCTTCTGACCCCTGCTGTGAGAATATAGGGAGAGAACTTCGTCATCAGCGGCAACAGGTGGCCAAAGGACCAACTAAAGCTCCGCTGCAAAGGCTGCTCGGAAGCAGCTCCTGCTCCAGGACTTTGTGCGGAAGAAGCATTCCCAGAAGAACGAACTGAGGGAAATTCAGGAGCCACCCACCACCATTCCCTATAATTCCTAGGCTTCTGTTATCGTCCCTACATCCAAACAATTTTGAAGTACCTGTAATATCATACATAGTGATTTTCCTACAATTCATGCAGTCAAATTTAGAGAATACAAGAGAACATATCATGTTTTTAGTCTAACAAAGCATGTTAGGATACTCCAAGCCTTGTAAAAGAGGAAGAAAAAATACAGAAGAGAAAAAAAAAAATCAAAAAAGGAAGTTGATAGTCACCTAAAAAAACCAAACCACCAAACAAAAAACCTCTGTGTGCTTGGCTTGAGTAACATGCAATTTCTTAAGAAAGTCCACAGATTTTTATTCTTTATGTCTGCAACAAACTTCTAAGTAGAAATACTTTACAGCATTTTTAAGCTAGATTTCTTTTACCCGTGAAACGGACAACTCCTTTTGGTCATGCACACAGTAAAAAAGATTTACTGCAGGATATATCTACCATATAAAAATCTTGGTGAATAATGTATATTTATTAAACACAGATTTTTTTTTTAAATTTTTTTTTCCACAAATACGCATCACCAGAGAGCACTTAAATGAAAACCAATTATCCTCAGAAGACTGACGTTCTATTCAAAAGCAAAGAACAAAGTGCTGCTGCTGTTTGGTGTTCCTCAACAGCACCAGTCTACGTCCGGGCATTAGGAAAAGGACAGAACTAAATGGGACATACAAATTCACTGCTGCCAGTTCCAGGCATTCAAAGTTCTCCTCCTCATTTTACAGCTGTTTTTTAAAAAACAAACCAGCGACTCCCCAGTTTCTTTGGGTCACACAGGCCCAAAGAGACCATTCCTGCACCAGCCTCCTGCTTCCTTCCTGAGGACGGAAGAACAAACATCTAAGGGAGGATGCATATTCTCAGCACAGTTTACAAAAATAATCACTGTGACAATTTTACCCTGCTAGCAAGAACAATTAGCTCAGGTAGAAGGAATATTACAATAGGAGTTTGAAGACATGCCTGCCCTCATCATCATCTTGAAACACACAGTATACTCATTTTCCACGAGATTCCAGCTAGTGCTTGGGCCCAGGGCAAACCCGCAAGGTAGACCAAAGGTCCACCCGGCTCGGTATTTTGACAGCAGCCAGTGGCAGCAACCTATGAAAAATATAAAACCCAAGGAAAAAAGTATTGATAATTCACTTAGAAACTCTACCAATCTCCAGCTACTTAGAAGCTCAGAAACTTTCTGAAGCAGAACTATTTTCTGGCTTTGGACACACAAAGGGAAGAATTACGACTGTGTAGATATGCGTAGATTGCAAAACCACAGCACTGCTGAGGTTGGAAGGGACCTTCTCCGATCAGCTGCTCAAGAGGAGTCACCTACAGCAGGTTGCCTGGACTGCGTCCAGTCAGGTTTTGAGCATCTCCGTGGATGGAGACTCCACAACCTCTCTGGGCAACCTGTTCCAGTGTGCGATCACCCTCACAGTAAACAAGCGTTTTTTGGTGTTCAGATGGAATTTCAACGTTATTTTTGTATCTGTACAATTGGACTGTCACAGGATGAACTTTCACCATGTTGAACAGACAACATTAGGAACAGCTACGGCAGCACCAGTTAGGTCAGTGGTACACACTGACTGCTCTCGTGAAGACAAATTGAAGTACGTGGAGCACCCAAGGGGTAACTTCACAAGCTTTGCTGCCGGTAATGCAGCTTAATGGCAGTGCACTATCAGCCGCAGTAGCGCACTGAAGCTCTGCTTATCCTTTCACAAAAACCTAGTTCCCTATTTTTTCCCCTAGGTTAATTGCCACGCAGCATTAAAACCACTGTACCAGCACGTATGGAAGTAGAGGACTGAATGGTCAGTGCTGCACAAACATGCCCGTGGAACTACAGCCTCATTCCACGGTGGGACAACCTTAAATCCCTGAATTCAGGCTGCTTCGATTTATGACCTCAGGCCAGCCGAGAACAAGTGTAGCACTATGTAGTGGGAAATGGGGACACTGCTCGGTGAGACATGGTGGTCACTTATTTGACCCTTAAGACGCAGGTCAAGCTTCTGACAGAAGAAAGGTTGTGCATCTTCTGCCTACTTTCTGCCTGCACAACCACGTTTTAGGGTAGGAAAACAGCGACCAAGAGCTTGCTGGGCCAATGCACCCTCCTCTAATATCTGACACTTATCTTGCTGCTCTGCAAAAACTAGTGGTAAAATAACTAATGATGACATCTAAACTAGTGAACCAGAAGAAAATTCACACCTCTCAGAGCAAGTCCTTCACACTGCATTTGGGCAGAAACATTCATACTGTATTTAGAACTTCCTTAAGTAATGAAAGGCTGAATGCTTTTACAAGAAAATTTAAGAAACTGGGGCACCATTTGCAATGCATTTTAAAAACCCACAGCATTTACTTAACCATAATTCATCACAATACACACTAAACATAACCAGTAAAATTATGCTGCTGTCAGTGAAACAGTTCATTCACAGTAATGACAAAAGTGAAAAACTATATTCTAATTGGTAACTAAGGGCCTGTTCCTGACAGACTGCCTGTATATTCATTCTAGTATGGAGCGGTCAGCGTCTCAGTTTCTATGAGGATATCTGGGGCAGCAGACAAAGGGTATTTCCTTCTGGGATGGGCATATACACATGAATTTTGATGGCTGGCTGTGGAAGGACGTGCTTTGTGACTGGGGCAGGGACGTGCCGGCGAGTTTTGCGCTGCTGTTCAGGTGTCGTTGGGTCCCATGTGGTATATTCTGGTCCAGAGGAAATTTGTTTCAGAATTTGAGTGGAGCGAGACTCTGGAGAAAATGGAAGAGGCCCTCAGGCAACAGACTCTATGAGAAGTTATTTCAAGAAAGGATCATCTTTATATATGCAGCACCTGTTTAGGCTAAATCATTAAGAAAAGCATACAGGCATTACAAAGGTATCTATGGGTGACACATACGTATTCTGACACTGACATATTCTGCACCAGTACTTACGCTGCCTACTAAGGAGTCAGTTCTCAAGCACGACTTACCTGCAGCTGAATATGTAAGCACAGCAAATTCATACTGGATGTGACTAAGTGCTAAGCTTTCAGACTGCAGTCATATTGACAGCCACACAGCAATAACTTAATAATGTGGTCATGCAGAAAGAAAACACTAATATTGAAGAGCTTTCACGGAATGTAACGTCTCACGTTAAAACAGACTTTATCCAGTAAGGACATCATGGAAATCTAGCACACTGAATTTTGGTCAGACTCGAGGGCAGAGGAGAAGATGACGTTAAGCAAGCAGTCTGCACGATGAACTTTGAACAAAATTTCCAGGCTACAGACTTGGGTAACTGCAGCCCCGCTAAAAGGCCAGATGGCTTCACCTTGAAATAAAGCTTTGGTCAAGGCATCTTCCCGTGGTTCCACAACGACTGTACTTATCAGAAAATTGGACACTGACCAAAGAATGTGGAGAATTGATTTTTCAAACCAACTAAGATTACATACGCCAGACTGAAAATTTCAAGAACGTGGTAGATGCATCTGTGCATGCACACACACACATGCCCAAATGCAAACAGGGTGCCTTATCTCACAGAAGGAAAATATTTATGATTAAATACTGGAGGTTTTAATGTGCGTTTTGCATACACTCCACACATGTGAAAAATACCTAGATATCCAATATGGCAAGGTGAAGGTAGTCTTAGGTTCAGTTGCAACTATCTTCTGCTGGGTTTTTTTGGTAATTCTAAATAAAACATACACATGTACTATCTCTTACCCTGCTCTAAGACACACACACAGCTATAACCGTTTAAATATAAGGAAGTTTCCAACTAATTTTTTGCATTTTATGTCACCTCCAGTGGCTACCACACCAGGCTGATGACTTCCATGGAATCCATCATAGTGCATATTCAGATGTCAATCTTGAGTAAGGATAACATTCATCCAATTTAATTTGCACAGCTTTGGATTTAGTAGTGATATTAAACATGTAGCAGACAGTACCTTTGCTTACTAACACATTTGGAATTGCAACTGAATACAAAAAAGACAAGTAGTATCAAATTTCTGCCCTCTATTTTAAGACTAACACTGTTAGTCTCTAAGGAACCATGAGTTATTTTTTCCTTCTGCTGATAAAGACTTCATAAGGTTGTAACATCAGTTCTTAGTACCTTCCAATTTGGCCCCAGAGGTCCTCTCTTCGTCTTAACCGACTGGAATAACGCAGGATCTTCATCAGCTTTGTAGTCCTATAATATAAAAAAAACCCTGAGTGTCAGAAAAATAACCAGATTCAAGACCCCACTGTATTAAGCTTCTGTTCAAGACTACCAAATTGATTCTCCTGGGTGGTCTGGAGCAGGATAGGTGGAGGTAGTCTGACTTAAGTTTGTGTTGAATACTCCGTCACACCCACTCATTCACTGCCTGTCACCAGTGGTGCTCATTATCTGTTCATACTGCGATAGTACGCCGGGGCTCCCTTCGCGGTCAGAACCGTCTTGTGCTGCGCACTGTGCAACGTGAGCACTATCCTATCGGTTTTGTAAACTTCTGAGGGGAAGAGAAAGCAGTGATACAGAGACTAGTGCGCTAACATTTTCCAAACTGCAACCTATGTCCACTCCTGAGAACACAGAACAGAAAGGGAAGAAGGCGTAAGTGTGCTAATGTGCAGAACTAGAAACAGCGTAGTCTCAGTTGGTGGGACGTCACCAGGCTACACGCAGAGAGGGCACAGGGCAGCAGACTGAGCGGCACTGCTGCACAACAGACAGCACTGCTTACCAAGCCCTATACAGTGGGAAAAAAGCTAATATAGAGTCCAAAATGGCAAATGCTTCCAACATATGGATCTACTTAATTTTACTGATGAGGGTATGAAAATGATTATTTGATAAAGATGCTACTTTGGAGATGAGGAAAGGGTTAAAAACTCTGACCTCAGTAACTGGGAACAGGTAAGGTTTACACAACATATGAAAACATTAACCTAAGAACACAGTTACACCCAGGCAGCGGAGGAAAACTGCAAAAGTTTAAGTTAAAGCAGAACAAATGCTTGGTGGGTGCTACAGAAAAGCCTGAGAAAGTTTAGCAGAGTTTAAGGTCTCATTTTTAAAAACAAATTTCAATGAGGATAAAATTTGCAGAACACGGAGTGAAAGAAACACCACCAGAAAAGTAGCTACCGGCATTTGCCCCCACTCCTGCACCAGAGTTGTCGCAAGGGATCACATTTGTAAACTGCTTCTAAGATGAATTAAAGCTAAACCTTCACCTTTCTAATGCATTCCCTTACATTCAAGATTAAATAGCAGCAGCAGATAGATAGATGTAAATTTTAAAAAAATGGCTCTCTGAATATTAAAACTGAAATATCAATGTTTTTCTGAGGCATACTGAAATCATCTAACTACATCTCCGCTGCAGAAGCAGTGTGTTTTGGGGAACTGGTTTCACTGGACGATGGAGTTACAAAGTTCTTGTAGACAAAGGCATGAACAGGAGTATGTGTAAAATAAGCCTGAACGCTCTAACACCACTGAGCAGGAATCGCCAGACGGAGAGACCACTCTAGCCCAATACTCTGTCTCAGTGGCCAGCAACAGACGCTTCACGGCGGGATGCAAATAACCCAAGACAGAGCTGTCAACCCAAGGCGCAGATAGGTTGGTCTTCCCTATTCTGTGGGGTTTTCTTCTGGAAAGGATATAAACTCATCCATTAGAGAGGACCATATAACTGGCTATTTTCTCCACTTTTATTCTTGGCCTCAGTTGCACCCTGTGGTAATTAGTGACTAATGAATTATGAACTGCGCCAAAGTATTTCCCTCTCCCATTGTTCTGAACGGATTTCATATTCATTCTCCATATTTATTCACCAGGAAAATCCCAAACAAACCTGGGAAAGACAATGCACACAAAAGAACTCCAATCAACTTTCCTCAGCCCTCCCAAAACAGCTCCATTTCCCTATTTTTCATTTTTAACTTGAATTTAACTTGAATTCAACAGATGGTACCAGTGCATACTCAACCTAGGAGCAATTATTTGAATTCATTGTTTGCGCTGTCAGAAGTATTGAACACGATGTGTAACACACCAGTTTTCAAATCTAGATTCTTCCATTAGCACGGAGGAACAAAGGCTACTTCCAGACTGGAATTTCAAATCCACATAGCAAGGCTATACGAATTAGTTATTAATGCCTTCATAACCATTTTGATATTTACAATACATTTTCTGCAAACCAGGTGGAGCTGGAAAATCCAGCAGGTCCTCTCAGACAAATCTGATTTCACTTATAGAAAAATCAGCTGTTATTCTCTGATACCTTCTTCTCCCCAAATTTTTTGTATCATTCCCAGTTCTTTTAACATACCTACCTATGCTATATATTAAAATAGGTTGAAAAGAGCTTTTAATAGATTTTTTCCAGCCATTCTGTAATTAATACAGCTAGAATGCATTAATAGGTATTCAGATAAACTTCCATAGCATTCAAACTATGAAAATGAGTAAATTCCCTTACTGATGAGTTAACTGGAAAAAAGCACGTGTCCTTTTTACAGACAACAAAAAGAGCAAATATATGCCTTCACGTATGATCGCTTCAGCACACAGCAGCCAGCCCCAGCTCTCAACTCCTGCTGCCCGTGAGCAAGCCAGCCTGCCGGCTTTGTTCGCAGCCTGTCTCCTCCAGGAAGCCAACGGGGGTGGCGAGCAGAGGGCGCACAATTTACAGTGCCTGCCACCAGCTGTAGGCTTCTCATCTCATTAGTTATTTCCAAATACTGTAGGTGAAGATGGCTGCGACCTACTCGAATCCTCAGATCCTGCATATTCTGGAGGTTGAATGCAATACACATCCCCCCCAAAATGCTTGGGGGGGAAAAAAAATCGCATTTTCTTTACAAGTAAATCACCTTTAAGAAATATATGTAAATATTACAGCAGAATATTTTCATAGAAATAGATTCAGTGTTTTAAATTACTGATTACGACTGCCTTTTAACAATTTCACTCAAACACCGGATGGAAGACACTGAGAAAAGTATTAAGCTATAGGAATGGATAAACAATTTTCCAATAAACATTTTGTTCTAGACAACAAATTCCTGGCACGAGTATTGCTGCTGTTTTGGAGTACCGATGTGCTAAACAGAACCACAAAGTACAAGAACTTCTGTATTTTAGTGCCAATTTTGTAAATAAAACCAGGTACTGCATTAGAGGCAACCCTAAATTTCTTAGTCTGATTGTCTGAATATCCTACCAAAGTCGAGCTCACACGCTCACACCGTAGTGGTGTCGGGCATATGGATATCCAGACCACACACTTCATTTATACTAGCGATACCCAGAAGATGCTGCCTGGCCTGCTGTCCCAGCTGTGAGCACAGTCGCGCAGCATTGCATGGCAACATCACATTTAGGAAGTTCTCACAGGTAAGGAGTACCTCTGTGCTTTCTTTAGAGAGAAAAACAAGAAAGTGCAAGAGATTGCTGTGGTGCTTCCATGAATCACTACGGAGCACAACAGACCAATCCTAAAAGCAATAGAAGGACAATACCAAAACAAGCATATGTAACATACTGGGATATTAGGAAACCAGGAGGGAACATAACACAAAATATCTTACCACACTAAAATTCTGCAATACATCTATATTTTGAACATTAGATTCATTTATTATACCCTTTTCCCTAGAATACATTAGAAGTGAAAGAAATACAGAAGACAGCAAGAATGATTAATTACGGAACCAATTCCATTCAAATAGCAAACACAATAGACCATGAATCTCCAGCCTGGAAAAGACATGACTGAGAGGGATAAAATACAGAAATCTGTAAAACCGGAGAGGGAATATACGTAGTTAGGGGCTGGAGTTCGTAGAAACTGAAAACCATAACCAGATAAAATTGTCAGCAATCCAAACCAAAGATTTTAAACGACTTTCACCACAAATAAAGGCAGAATACTGTCAACTCCATCAGTGGTCAATAATGATAAAGAAAGAAGGCGGCACAAGCATCTTCTAGCAGGAGTGATTCCCTTACGACAGGCAGTGCTTGGCTGAGCCCATGTGTTTGTGCTGCAATGGTGACATGTTTCCGGGCTGTAAAACTTTTTTTCCAAACTGTTCACTAGAAAGGCAGATAAGCTGCAGTTCGACTCCTCACCAAAGCTACAGTACTGCCTCCTCCTGAAGAGCAGGATGCAATTTGGACTCTTTCTTTACAACGGCACACTCTGCAGAAATTTCTCTACATAATTGTCAAAGAGAAAGATTACACCAGACAACACAGCTCAGCAGCACTGGAGTTACCATGGAAAGCCCCAATATAGAGAATGCAGTGAACCACTTTGTTTTAATGACAATCATCTCAAATTAGTGCAGCTCGTATCATTAAAACGAGAAAATAAACCACAATTTATTAGTCAATGCTGTACTTTAGGAAAGGCAATACAGGGAATTAAACTATTGTGAACAATTTTCTGACCCATGAAACAATCCGGGCTTCAATAACATGTGGAGGCACCACAATGCATAAAAAAAAGATAGAAAGCAGAACATCTCTTCCTTAATTGGAAAGATAGTAATAATAATATAGTATTGCAGAGATGGTGAATTTGTTTGCAATATTATTTACGTTTATACTATTTATAGTTATTATTTTTATATTTATCATTTTACATGATATTATATAAATATACTTATTATTTCTATATCGTAATTGTTATGTTTATATTACTCATCACGCCTTATGGTTCCAACCAGACAGCACTGAATGTAACTGCTGCCTAACCAGCCCTTCCTGCACCAGTCCCACTTGGGAGGCAGAGGGAGTACGCAGCACAGTGGAGGTTTTCACCTTTCTTAACATCCAGCGTTGATCACTGCTGGAAAAAGCACACTGTTCTGGTCCAACCTGAAAATGTCAATGCCAGTAAGAAAAATCCACAGGAGATGGGATGAATCACTCTGCACAAGATTATAAAGCGCACGTGTTTTGACTAGGTGACGACTAGGTGACTTTACTTGTAGCTACGCTGTACCTTTGTACCAGCTTGTAAGACCTAGGACAAAAATCAGTTTCAAAGACCAAGACCCCTTCACTCTAAACTTGTTAAAGTAATCGCCATCACTCTTTACAGTCCTGTAGTATGCAATAACTGGGACAGACAGGAGGAATCGACATATGCTGAGAAGCTTACACGGGACCAAGGCATGCCCAGG